GCACATATTGTTAATTTATCCTTAAGTAATGGACATTTTCCCACCGTACTAAAACAAGCCATAGTAATTCCACTTCACAAAAAAAATGATCGTCACGTAGTCTCTACTTATAGACCGATTAGCATTTTACCTAGTATATCAAAAATTTTTGAACATGTGATAAACAACAATCTTGTGTCATTTTTAAATAAATACGAAATAAGTGATCCCTCCCAACATGGTTTTACAAAAGGCAAAAGCTTAGACACTGCACTGGCAGATTACCTTAGCCAAATATCCCAGTGTATGGACAAAAATATCTCTTGCCTCGGATTGTTTGTAGATTTTACAAAGACCTTCGACTGCGTAAGTCATGAGTTACTGCTTCACAAATTAGAACGCTATGGGATAAGGGGTACAGCCTTACAGTGGTTCCAATCATATCTATCAGACAGAACTCAAAAAGTGCTTGTAAATAGCACTCTTTCTAGAGAATCGACTGTCACTATCGGGGTACCTCAAGGATCAATTCTCGGACCGACTCTGTTCATAATTTTTATTAATGACTTATTAAAATTGGTAAAAAAGACGTCAAATTGCACCGTTATGTCCTACGCTGACGATACCAACTTCATTATTACTGGAACAGACGTTAATGCCATTACTAGAAGGGCACAGGAGGTATTCTCTCTAGTGCAACAATGGGTCAGTAAAAACAAACTATGGATAAACAATCAAAAACTTGCCTTTACAATTTTTACTAACATGACAAACTTTCAGAATATTACGCTAAATTTAAATAAGACGCTTGTTAAGTGCTCCAACTCCATCAAACTATTAGGAGTCGTTTTTGACAATCATTTAAAATGGAATCTTTATATAGATCAATTATGCTCGAAATTATCTTCGGTTTGTTATGCACTCAAGAATGTAGCCAGACAGTGTAATTATTCTACAGTAAAACAACTATACTTTGCTTGCTTCCAAAGTCTTCTAACATACGGCATTATTCATTGGGGGCACTCTCCTGACTTTCAACGAGTTTTTATTTTACAGAAATGGGCAATTAGAATCTTAGCCGGAATTAAAAGTATGCACTCTTGTAGATCCGCCTTTAAACAGCACAGAATCTTAACATTACCAAACATATATATCTATGAGATGTTATGTTACACATATAAAAATATTAACAAGTTCAGTCAAACTCGAACAGATCATGAGTACAATACTAGACACAAGAAGTTGTTATTGCCAACTCAACACAAAACAGCCCACTTTCAAAGAAGTTTACATTTCAATTGTTGCAATTTTTTTAACAACTTGGACTATGAAATAAAAGATGCACCTAATTTGCGTACGTTCAAGGCTAAATTAAAAATATTTCTTTTGGATAGAAATTTTTATGATTTTAATGACTTTTTTAAGAAAGCGTGTAGCGTCTATTAGTTCATTGTAAGTAGGTACATGTTATCGTGTAATATGTAGAAACCATCTTGTATTTTTTGCACTATTTTGGTGCTATGTGTTTGTAGTGTTATTTTATTTTGACAATCCCTTCTTAAATATTTTCTATTTTTCTGTATAATATTTTCTGAAGGTAAATAAAGTATTATTATTATAATAACAAAACTTAACAATTATTGATGAATGAAGTAATGAAATATTGTACGAATCTGGAGAAGTATTGCCACTATTTTCAAGAATTGCTCAAAAAGACTGCTGTCTGCAGCTATACAGTAAGTAAGCCGATCTTCAAAATTCCTACGCGTGTTGATTAGCATTTGAGTTGAAATCTGAAGACAATATTGCTGGATTGCTTCAGATTTGGATGCGGCACCCTGTATATGATATAAAATGGTATTAGGATGATAAACATATAAAATAGAAATGAATAATGGGTTAGTGTGGATGAGTGGACAGCATTTCTTTCGTTCTCTTCGATAAGGGATGTCACTTCTTTAAGACTTTTATTAGCTAAGTTTAACTGATGATAGTCATGAATCTTCTACAGTGTTGTGACATACAATGAGAAATCAGTATCGTTAACAAGTTTTGACTTATTTAAACATATATCTGAATTTAAATTAAAAGACGGTAAATAATTTGAATGGACAGTAGAATATAAACTTTCATGTGGTTCTAACACAGACTGACTAGTAAAGGTAGTGCCTGTTCTATTCAATTTAAACAAATCGCTTCCTTCTAATTTAACATTGAAAGGTGTGCTAAAATTTCTATAATTTATAGTTACGTATTCGGTTGATTCCTAACACGATTACTAATGTTACTGTAAACTTTTATTAGTTGGCAATTATCGTTGGTGATTAGGGAGTCTTCTCTAGCCTCTAAATAAACTCGAGGTTCAAGAGAAAAAGATTCATTATGATAAAGGTAATCTTCATGGCAATTATTACCAACATCGAAGCTAATGACCATGTAATTAAAAATGGAATTAGTGAAAGATATAATAGATGGTCATAGTAAATTTTGAACAGTTCGTCTTTTTGAACTGGGGCTCAGAGCTCCATGATTTAGAGATAGGAGTTAAGCTACTCCATATTGTAGACGTCATTCTCGGATTAGTTTTAGAAATATATACAGGATGTTCATTTTATCTGTTCAAGCCTGACAATTTTTGCATAGGCAACATATTATACACCCCAGAGACGACTTCGTCCAAGTTATTTTTTTTAATAAGCAAAAATAGCAATCACAGAAAAAAAATGACAAAGATATCAATGTCAAATAATGACAAAATTGAAAAATAAATACTCAATTTATTAGTGGATCATATTACAATGAAAACGAATTTATAATAAATGTTAAAAACGCCTTCTTCCCCTATTTTCACAAAGTCTTATCCTACATTCAAAATTTCTACCATCTCTATCTCACAAATCGGGAGTTATAGATCTGCATGATGCTATTATCCTTTCACGTAAGTGGTTTTGATTTTCGATTGGGACACTATAAACGTCATTTTTCACCTTCCCCCAAAGAAAAAAATCTAATGGATTTAGATTAGGGCTCCGTGCAAGCCAAGCGTACTCTTCTTTTCTAACAATAAGTCTTGATTCAAACGCTCTGTGTAAATACTTCCTAACGTCTCTCTGATAATGAGCGGGAGCGCCATCATTTTGAAACCAAATTATTCTTCGTATGTCCAGCTTTAAGTTTTCCAACAGTTGAGGTAAAATATTCTTCAAAAAATTTAGATGCATGGACCAATAACGAGGTTACCATCAATTCCACACCAAGCATTAACTTTGAAAACTTCTTGGAAGTGCGGAGGTATATTATAAAATCAACGAATTTATAAGTAAAAGTTTAGTTTTTTCATTTAGAATATTTTTATGAGTAATAAGTTGCCTAAATTTTAAATAACACTCTCTACAGATATGAGGCACATGGGACGAAAATGTGAATTCAGAATCGAATATAACCTCAAGATTGTTAACCTTGTGTACATACTCTATTTTTTCGTTGATGCCTGAAACTTTACGTGATGTGCCAAACAAGATATGACAAATTAGCAAATTTAGATTGTTAAAATTAGTATCAGGTGGTCTGTACAAAGTACCTACGTGAATTTCCTTTGAGTTTATCTTAAGTTTAATCAATAAGTACTCAACAGAGCTATTAAAGGTTTCGTCTTAAAAAAAAAATTAAATTTCAAATTTAAGAAAAGCTTAAACATGTTTCACTGACGTCGATGAGGTAATAATCATGTTGGAGAACAATGTCTTTGAACTTGTGCGATTTGTTACATAAGGGTTTCTGTTTAATTTCGGTTTCTGTGCCAGCCGTCAAAAACACCAATAAATTTCCGACAAAATGGTGACAACTTTCCGGCGATTATTTTTGGTACGGCTTGTGTCACCGACAGCTTCCCTGTCGGCGGCACTCTTTGTCGGGCAGCAGCAATCCGGCGGCCGCACCTTGTGGCGGCTTGCTTTTGTCGGCGGCGGACCTTGGCGGCCACATCTATCTGTGGTGGCTCGTGCCATAAGGGGTGGACGGACAAGTCCCCTCTCTTATTTTGTATAAAATTCTTTTTGTCATTCGTTAGGTAGCAGTCCAGCTGTGTGGACAATAAAATACAAAAATACAGTCCACTTCTTTTATTTCGAAATCATCACGGCCGCACCAATTTTTTTAATTAAAAAATATCAGGAGAAGATGTACAAAAAGTTTTAGCATGTAATTAGTATTTGCTATTTGACTGCCAATGTTGTTTTATTTCTGTACTGTTCTGAATATGAATGAATTGAGAAACCAATTCCTGGAAAATAGATCATATCGTCGCTATATGACGCAAATGGAAACAAGTAGATAAATATGACTTATTACTTAAATAAGATAAAATCTCTTGATTTGGTTGCAAATTTTTCAACCAAGGCGCCAATAAACAATTCATGTTTATCGTTGTCTTAAATCTAGGTTTTAAAATAAGTATTTACTTGTAGTATGTAACCAAAAAGCGATGAAATTAAAATGTAAATTATGTCCAATATAACAGTGGATGACGTGTTTATTGATTTATTACGACGTTTAAACAAAAAACTAAAAGAAACTCACTCTCATTTAAGCATGCAAGTACATTGAGCTATACTTCATAATCATCCAATGGTATTTCGTCCACAAACACCTGAAGTTAGTACGCCGTAGTTATCAGTAATAACAAAAATTAATTTGGGAAGATTATTTTTTGTGTTAAATTAATATTATAGCTATTCGCCCCGCCATAAATTACATATTACTACTTGATCTCTTGTTTGCTTTATTTTATTTTTCTTTATTGCTACTTTCGTTAATAAATCTAAATCTGCGTACGTATGAAAAATGGAAAAAAACCATGGAGAAAACATTAAATTAGTCATTTATCAGGTTTTAGAGTTTCCAGATCTTGAAGGTCTTTCTCTTGATAACACAAACTTATCAGATATGCTAACCCCACCTTTAGAATATAGTATATAAGGACAACATTAAAAAAAAAAAGCTGATTATTGTAATACGGATGACTTAAAAGTTTACCATAATAAAGTAATACGTTAATTGTAAACATATTTAACAAAAGTTCTTGTGATTATAAATTTCAAAAATAAGTGAACTTCCTGACGGGTAAGTTGAAAATTACAGTTAGAATTTACTTACGCGTATTTTTTATTGTACGTAATAATCATTAACGAATTTATTATAACTTGCATTGCTTCTATCAATATTATTATTATTATTATTATTATTATTATTATTCTTTGAGCGGAGGCTAGCGCCTATTGGGCTCACGAAAGGTTCTTCAGATGCTTGAGTAAAAAAAAAAAGAGATAAGGCTGACGTATGCTTAAACCAGAAGAAGCTTTGATATTTACACTTTCAGAATCAATAATATGTACAGTACAACACTTCAGACTTAAAACTTGCATTTCTACCTCGGGTAGATCTCCAAATTTGTATTCTAATGGTACTTCTTATAAATAAAGAGCGAATTTTAGACTTAAAAAAAAAAAGGCAAAAGCGATAACAATTGTGGGTTTAGACAGGAAAATGGCAAAATAGGCGCTTTAGGGCAAGTTTTAGGAAAAACAAATTCTACGCAACGTCTGGTTCTCTTTCAGATCTATAATTTTGAAATTTGGTGTGGATGTATAGTTAAACATGGCGCCTTGATTACAATATTTTGTCTTTTTTTATCGCTTTCGGTTTCACACACAAGAACGCCTAATTTCTTTTTGTTTTAATGGAACACCCAGATTTATTGATATTTTTTGGTGCAGAATAAAAAACCAATTTCAGAAATTATCGACATACTTATTTATACGGATTCGAAAAAATAAAAAAAAATCAAAGTCAACCACATATATATCCAAAGCAAATTTAAGAAAAAGAACTTTTAAAATAACTAAGCTATTCGACCTTTCCGGCACTTTATACTAACCCTGTATTTATGTTATTATTTCACATAATCAGCGATTCTAATCCTAAATAGTTAATATTTGCATAACAAATTAGATGTTTTACAAAATTTTCTGTAGAAAAATTTTTTTTTTGTCTGTTAAGACATTTTTTTGTCTAGAGAAAGATCTCTCAACATCACACTGAATTGTGCAACATTAGGAATTTACACTTACAATTCTCCTAGAGGCTTTATAGAACAATTCGCCGTTTTTTATTTGAAAAACGTATGTGTTTTTCGTTCGTTCCCTCAACTTGTTCTTTAAAGACGACTTGACTTTAAGTATTTTTAAAAATCGCACAAAATACTAGATAATAAGCAATTTTTAAAACACTTTTACACTTTTCAACTTAATTTACGAAAACCCAGCACAAAGTAAATGGTACAGGAAGAGAACTCAAACATAAAGTAGTAGGAGGGCATCAAAGCTCTCTCTAGAAAAGCAAGAGACAACTTGCTCTTGTCTGTAAATAGATATTTTAATTATTTTAAGACGTAGGTAGCCAACTGTCCAGTGAAATTTGTTCTTTGATGTTTGACGCTGAAAAACAGATTTTGGTTATGTTGGCATTTTGCTGACGGAATTCCCCCGACTCTTTTAACCAAAACTCGAGTTGTATTATCTTTTTTTATGGTACCGGAAGTATTAAATTCGTCGCCTGAGAACTTGTTTGATCAACAGACCACAGCGTCCTCAGGCTAATGTCGACTCTAATAAGCGTTCAGAAACGATTTCATCTATAAGCCATATTCCGTGATCTGATGCACATCCTAACCGGTTTCGACCATAATTTTTACGGAAAAACTAATTGTTCAGTTATGTTCATGCATTTTATAATAACATAAAATAACTTGACAACTACTTTAAATATTAAAAAGTAACATAGTCTCGAATTTGTTGTTTAAGAATCCACGTTGAATTTTTATCTTCGACATTGAGATTTTTCGGCTTTTCAACGTTCGAATTCTCAGTTTTTCGAAATTTTAGTTTTGGCGTTTTTCAGTTTATTTATTTTTCAATTTTTGGATTTTACAATTTTTTAATTTTCAGTTTTACGTTTTTTCAATTTTTCTCCTTTTCAATTCTAGGATTTTTCGATTTTGCAATTAATCGATGTTTCCATTTTCCTATTTCTTGACATTCGAGTATTTCGATTTTCCAGTTCTCCAATTATTTATTTTTTCGATTTTTCAGGTTTTTGATTTTTCAACTTCTCAATTTTTTTTAAGGTTTCAGTTTTTCGATTTCTCAATTTTTTTGGATTCTTAGTTTTTGGATATTTCAGTTTTGGTTTTTCAGTTTTTCTATTCTTCAGTTTTTCTTTCATTGTTCAGTATTTCAATATTTCAGTTTCGGGATTTTTCGATTCTTCGTCTTTTCGATTGTTGACTTTGGATTTTTGGATGTATCGATATTTTTTTACTTCCTCGATTTTTCAATTTTTCGATTTTTAAATTTTACATTTTTCAATTTTTTGATATTTAGATATTTCAGTTTTTAAAATTTTAGATTTTTCGATTTCTCTGTTCCAGATTTTCTGTTTTTGAATTTTTCGTTTTTTCAAATGTTCGATTTTTGAATTTTTCAATTTCGACATCTACAAACTTTCAATTTTTCGATTTTTCAGATAATCGATCTTTTATTTTTCATGATTTTTCCCATTACTTGATTTTCAACTGTTTCGATTTTTCAATTCTTCAATTCTTCAATTTTTCGACTTTTCGGGTTTTTGATTTTTCAATTTTTGGATTTTTTTAAGCTTCGATTTTTCGACCTCATTTTTTGATTTTTCGGTTTCTCAATTTTTCAGTTTTTTAGATTCTTAATTTTTGGATATTTCAGTTTTGGGATTTTTCAGTTTTTCCATTATGCTGTTTTTCTTTCATTTTTCAATATTTGGATTCTTCGACTTCTCGATTTCTGACTTATGGATTTTTCGATGTGTCGATTTTTTCACTTTTTCGATTTTTCAATTGTTCGATTTTTAAATTTTACATTTTTCAAACTGTTGACATTTTAATTTTTCAATTTTTAAAATTTTAGATTTTTCCATTTTCGATTTTTCATTTCAATTCTTCGATTATTCGACTTCCCGGTTTTAGATTTCCTGTTTACGAATTTTTCGTGTTTTCAAATTTTCGACTTTTCAATTTTTCAAATTTGACTTTTATAAACTCTCAATTTTTCGATTTTTCAATTAATCGATGTTTTGATTTTCTTATTAATTGACATTCGACTGTTTGGATTTTCCAGTTTTTCAATTCTCCAATTTTTCGATTTTTCAAGTTTCTGATTTTTCAATTTTTCGATTTTCTAAGTTTCGATGTTTAGACTATACTTTTTTGATTTTTCGATTTCTTAGTTATTCAATTTTTTAGATTCTCAGTTCTTCGATATTTCAATTTTTCAAGTTTTCGAATGTTTCAATTGCTTACATTTCTTAATCTTTTGATCTTTTGACTTTATGGTTTTAGATTTTCTATTTTTCAATTTTTAGATTTTTTCAAAATTTCGATTTTTAAATTTTTCATTTTTAAAATTTTTCGATTTTTCAAAGTTTTGATTTAGCGATTTATCGAGATTTGGTTGTTTTGATATTTTGATTGTTGAACTTTCTCGATTTATCAGTTTTTCAATTTGTACCTTTTCGATTTGTTTATTTTGGACTGCTTCGGTTTCTCAGTTTTCTACTTTTCTGTTTTTTCGTTTTTGTTTATTTTTTCGCTTTTAGATTTTTGAATTTGCAATTTTTTATCTTTTAACTTTTCATTGTTTCGATTTTGGCCAATTTCAGTATCCCAATTTTTTTACTTCGACTTAAACAAAAAAATAGTTGCATGTCAAGTGAGTGAAATATGTAACATGTGATATTATATTTGTAAATAAAACCATCTAAATATATACCAAAAATGTTCACTTATTCGTTATAAAATCCGACCGAACAACTATTTCACGTAGAAATTATTGTCCAAATCAACCAAATCGCTTGTGAACGCTTATAGAGTCGACAGTTGCCTGAGCGCGCTGTGGTCTGTAGATCAAACAAGTTCTCGGGCGACGAGATGTGACCTTAGCAAGAAACATGTGCTAAGGATATGGAAATAGTAACTTACACAACTAGTGTTAATCGAACATTTGACCAAATTTTACGTAAAGTTACACAAGGAACAACGTTGGTGAGATTTTTTTTTTTTGAAAATTTGCATTAATTTGCAAATATTAAATAATGAAACTAATAAAGCTATTTGTTACATTTTTAACTGCAAAGTTAAATTGTATATTTTAAACCAGAAAAATTACATGTACCTATACGCGGGCTGTGATTCTCCATTTGAAAATTTAATATTATTACTTTTGGCTAACAAATAAAAAACTGCTCATTTCTCGATTTTGTTTGTATTATAGATATTTTAAGTTTATTTGGTTTCTGTAATTAGGATTTCTTCCTGTTGAAATCAGTAAATATTATTATTAAAATAGAAGCATCAAAATTAGATATAATTAAGTATAATTTTCTTGCAGACAACCAGAATTGGTAGACAGCTAGGCTTTGAAACTACGATAGTGCATTAAGAAAACAGTAAATTTAGATTATTGTTGGTATTTCTTTATATAACGTTTGCGAATTAAGTGGATATATATCAGAAATGAATGACGGATTTTTAATAAACAATCAGTTAAAAATTAAAGTTAAAGTTAATCACGCATTTAACGAGGAGTTTAGCGACGTCTGATTGGCGTACAGTCGGTCACGTGGTATTTTAACGTCGTGTTAAAAATTTAATCGCAATCAAACATCTAATTGAGCTTCTGCAACGGTTTGAATTTATTATTATTTAATGAAATTGGTATCCCATTTGACTACAGTTTTTTCAAAAATTTTTTTTAAGTGATAAGCCGTATACATCCACACTTTTCCACTAAAATCATCATTCATAAGATTGAAGACAGGAGCAAATCCTGATATAATGATATAAATCTTGACTTTTTACCCGAGACATCCAGATTTAAAAAAAAACAAAATTACACAATAACAACATTTTTTAAATTGAAATCTTGCACTGGTTTTAAGGCAATCGCAAGCTTTAAAATTACTTATACAGGGTGAGTTGGAAATAATGAATCCCATGTTTCCCAATCTTTTATTATACAGGGTTATTATTATTAGTATTACGTTGCACAAGTTCAAATTATATGTGCCTTTGCTAACATGTTGGTGACGTTATCACAAGATTTTGTTAGGAAAAAATTCGCTTGAAACATACGTATTCGATGTTTATTTACCTGTAGTTTAACAATCCACACACATGTCTTTATTTTAATTTTATAGAGGATATCATTAAATAATAGTCTAATTCACAAAATTACATTTTATAATTTTTGGAAGAAGCTATATTTAAAGTTCTGTTTAAATAACTTTAGACCATTTTTTTTGTGAATATTCTATGTACTATAGTTAGACATATGACAGAAATGCCAGTACTCAAAGACAAAAGCTGAATTTTGCAACAGTTTTTAAGTATATGTGCTGTCGGAGGTTGACAGTAGTGGCTACTATCCTGTCCTCAGTTTTGTTAGTATAAAATAAATGCAAGGAAAAAACCAATTTTTTTTTAATTTTAACTATATGGGCATTAAAGTGCTTTTCAAAATTACATTAAATGTTTGGTAGTAATTGCTGGAATACTTTAAATTTTAGATTTGAATTTGATAGTAGATAGACATAAAATTTTCTTTTTTAAGATAATACTATCGTTCCCAGGTTACGAATTTTAACTGTTATAGAGCAGATTTTTGTCCGAACAACATTCTTTCCTCTTCTCCAAAAATAATGCGCTAATATAATAGAGCTTCCATTCTTTAGTTTTATTGTCCAAAACTGACACATATACCAGTATCAGTGTTCTGACAGCGAGAGATGTTTTTTAATTAGTACTTATAATTTTTAATTTTTTTTTCAGCAAACACATTCAACGTCATCATGGACTTGAGTTCTGAAGAAGAAGAAATTATAAAATTAAAAAAAGAAATTATAAAATTAAAAGAAAATTTAAAACGGAAAGAAGAAAATAGAACACGAAGAAAACATTTAGAAGAGATGAATACTTCGCAATCTGAAGAGAATGCATGTTCCTCAAAAAAGGTATTGTATCTTTGGGCCAGCAAAGAACAAATGTTTGTTTAGATTTATTACAACTTTAAAAAAATAAATACCTAACTTGACTGCGGAGTTCAAGATAAACGCATCTAATGGTGTTTGCCCCTGCAGAAGTGTACTAAATCTATAAAATTTTAGAGTAAAAAACATAAAAAAACTCCATTTTTTTTCTTCCAAATTATGCGAAAGAAAGTATTTTTCGACCAAGTATGAGACTACTGCTGTCTTTATAGACCCAAAGCGCTCTGTGATTAACAATTGATGCTATTTTAATTTACATGGTCTTCGCAAAAAAATGTTTAAATGTGTGTTTAAGAGTAGATAAAATTATTTCGTTAATTACATACATTTTTAGGATACATAAATAAATATGTAAATGTCACTAATTAAATACTTTGTCAGCCGACAGATCCAATACAAACAGAAGGTAGTTCATTCAAACAACTTTTAGCATTTTGGAATAATCAGCAAATTAAAGAAAGTACCAAAGAACATACACATCAAAAGAAGCAGATTCGTGAAGAAAAGGATGGAAAAGTAAGGGAAGCTTTTTCGAAAGAAGTGAGTTTCTGTACCAAAATATATGATATTTACTTTGGTTTTATGCGATATATTACAGTTTGAACATACCAATTATTTTATGACGCAAGATGAAATAAATAAGGCATTTGGACGTTTTGATGAATCGATAATATGTATTTGAATTTAGTCGATATCAATAGTTAATTAGAAGCAAATTTTTGGCAAAAAATGCTAGTACCTTAGTTTACAGTTGTCAATTTTGACATGGGCACACGTAACAAATGTGTTGATTGGTTAAGATGATGGTAGCTGCTATATACTTATGTTTCTTTGAAAATCAGTTTTGTCATTATAAAATTTTAAATAGTTTGCCAACCTGTTAAAAAAAATCAAATTTATTAACAGTCACCCGGTAGTTATTGATGTACCAAGGACGAAAAACTGCGTATTATACGCATGTCTGCAGTTTGGTAGTTGAGGCGTAGCCGAGGCCAGCAAACAAGTGAAATTATAAAGGGGCACTTTTTTACAGAGGTGCAAATTACATTTTCCTATGATCTTCTCGGTTTTAGGAAATTAAAAATTGGTCTAAAGAGCTTAGACAGTACTTCTCTCGCAGTCGGAAACGTGACGACTGCATGCCTATTGTTTTTTCTTTCGCAGTAGATTTCAAAGCATTCGGTTTCGTAGTTCCTGAGTAAATCAATAAAATAAATTTGCTCATGCATTTTTTTTTGAGTCACGCGGTATATTCAAATTCAAAAAATATAAATGGGATGATAAATTACAACTACAGACTCATCAAACAAATTTTGGTTAGCGTTTTACCATCTACATGATATTCCTAATATAACTACAAAATTTCACAACAATCGGTCCAGTACTTTCGGAGATTATCTGTCTAATAAAAATCCGGGACGGCAGACAGACGGACAGACGGACAGACAGACGGAAATGGGAGACCTATTTCTTCGTCTTCTAGTGGTCATGAAAGATCGAGAAAACATAAAAGTAGAGAGTCGGCCGACGGACTCGATTACAATACTTCCTTTGCTTGCGCTCGGGAAGTAAAAATATGAATGGAGTGATAAATCACAAGTACAGACTCATCATATTTTGTACAGTTTAGATGGGATTTATTGGCAAATTGTCGAGTGGACGTCATCAAGTTTTTGGAGGGGATAACCAAATATATTTTGACTAAAGATTTATGATGCTCTTTATAGCCTTGAAACATCTACAACATTTCAAAGCATTCGGGTTAGCAGATTAAAAATTAAATTGCAAAATGTTGTTTTATAATTTTGATTTTTTTTTCAAAAATCTGAACGTTTCGGGTAAAACCTCAATTCGGAGTCGTAAACTACATGTGCAGGGCTATGTTATTTTATACAATTTAAAACCCATTTACTTAGTACAATTTTGAAGTGACACATTAGTGGTGGGGATGATTAGACAAATTTTGGTTAGCCTTTTACCACTTACGCTCGGGAAGTAACTAATTAAAACTATACAATTTTACAAGAGAACTTCTAAAACATATTAAGAAAAATCTAAAATTTTCCATTTTTTTGTGCACCATGTGTTCAGATCAATTTTTTTACCAAATATCATCGTCTCGAAAATTTCATGTTTCTTATTCACGGTCCATTATTTCAGCTCTAAGAAAAATGATGAAACTTTTGAAACTTTAGTTTCAAAATTATTCTAGTTAATTGTTAAAGTTACTTAGAATAATTTTAACAATGTTTTTGCGAAAACACGATAATAATTTTGTTTATTAAATTATTTTTAGCAGACAGATCTAATAGCAATAGAAGACACTACAAACAAGCAAGCTGCTCTATCTGAAGACAGTCATCAAATTAAGGGAAATACCCAAGAAAATATAGTTCCAGGGAACTGGGCTGGACGAGAAACAGATGGCGAAAGAAATAAAACTACGTCGGATAAGGTAAATTTATTTATGATGAAATATACGTTTTGGCCGTTATTTTGTATCAGAAAAAATAACTCAAACAAGACCTGTCTGCGTTTATATCAGCAAAAGCATAAAAAAACTTAGAACTATTTCGAAGTCTAATTTTTAAATGATTTGCAACTATTTTCGATTTATTCACATTGTTGATTTCTATTACAGCTTTTTGAAAAACGAGCAGGAACCACCGACAAGGGAAAAAAATACGAAGATTTGGTTACCGCTAAAGTCGCACTACAATTGGTAAGCGACAGTGAAATAAGAGATTTCTGCATTTCTTCGAACGATAAAAATTTTGGTGATTTTGATGACGTGGTTATTGAAATTGAGACGGATAGCGGAATAAAAACAAAGGCACTGCAATTGAAACACAGTAACGAAAAAAGACAATTGTATATAAAGCAGCTGGCAAACAAAAAGGGAGATTTTAATTTAATCAAATATTTCAAATCTGCTCAAGAGGTTCAAGACGAAGTGCAAGAATTTATATTATTTACCACAAATACATTTAAAACTTCGGAAGAAACGAAATTTAAACTAGAAGGGGAAGAGTTTTACGTGAAGGTCAGTAAAAAGACAGTTTCAGGAGACGATTTCGACGTTTTAAGAATTTCTGAAAATATAAATTATTATCATACATTTCACATAGTAGAGGACGAATGGACTAAACAAAATCCTGAAAAAATTCAGCAGTACCAAACATTTTTCGAGTGCTTTCGTCTTTACACAAACCAAGAACGTTTTGAAGCTCTTACAAAATCAACAATGGATAAATTTACTGAGATGTTTTGCTCTAATGAAGAAACTTTCAAGAAATACTTCGACATGATATCGGAATGGAGTTTGAAAGAAAAAGAAAAAGAAAAACTAAACAAAAGAATGATGCAACATGCAATAGCACTTCGTTTGCTTTCATCTCAGATCGAACCATTTGTTTTTGGTTCAGTCACAGACGAAATGAAAATACTTCGGGAGGCTATTTGTCTGTTCGACATTACGTTGTTGGGAAAAAAAGGCAGCAACGCAGTTAAAAATTTGTGGGGAGATTTGAACCAAAACATTGACCTCAAAGAACTAAACAAAGTTCGATCACTTTATTCTCTTTCTTCAAATTACATAAGTGGTGTCGAAAATCTGGATGCAAATTTGTTGACACAGTTGCTTTGGCTGATGGAGAAATGTCCACTCATTGTGAAAGAACACGAAAATATGGAGAAAGCTATTAAACTTTGTCCAGATGCAAAATTTATTATACTTGGCGAAGGAAAATATAAAGAATGGATGAAAAAACGATTTGTCTTTCAAAACTTACCCAACTTGAAATCAAAAGGCGAATTGTATGAAAAAGTATTGCAAAATTTCACCATTTCTATACAAGGAAAAGAAGCAATTAAGTTAGTGACCGCTTTCGACAAAAATGAAGAAATTTTCAAACATGTTACTGTGGAAAAACTTTTAGAGATGGCAAATGGTCCATGGCATATAGATGGACAAAAGGAAGTTTTTCCCAATCTCTATATCGATAGATATTTGTCAGTCAATATTATAGACATTAAATATTTAGAACATGTTAATCGAAAGACTGTTATCATTTTAAATTGCGAAGGTTATTCTCAGCAATTGAAAATATCTAAAAAGTATACTCTAACAGACATCGAGGGTTTTTTAAGTAATACAGACCCCAAAATTTTTGATAAACCAATTTTTATAAGGAGCGAAAAAAATTGCAGTGATTCTGATTTTCAAATAATATGTTCTAAAACAGCAGAATCCACAACTGTGCACTATTTTAAATTTCTCAACGATCAAAATTTAGAATGGATTGGAAGCAAAGGCTCAGTTAATGAACTGCGAAAATATAAATTACGTAGTCGTTCCAAAAACGAAAACGAAATTTGGTCTTCCGAATTCAGCAACAACATACATCTAATAACAGGTGACCCAGGAATGGGCAAAACCGAGTTAACGAAGAGTCTAAAAAACAACTGTTGTGCGAGATATTGGACCGTGATTCTGAGTGCTCAAGATGTTATGTCTTTCTTTAAAAATTCAGCAAAGTCTAAAAAATCACACTTAGAACTATTCGAAACATTTATTTTAAACGAAAAATATCGACATCACGCTGGACTCGATCGAGAATTTTTTAAAATGTGTTTAAAGCAACGCAATGTGGTTTATGTATGGGACGCTCTTGATGAAATATTTACTCGCTATTTAAATTCTACTTTAGATCTCATTCTTATGTTTTCACAAAAAGATTGCATTCAGTGGGTTACTGCAAGGCAACATTTGAGATCTTCTCTAGAAGAAAAATTTGATACCCTGTCCGTGGGTATCAATCAGCTCAGCGAAGTCGAGCAAGAGGACTACATTAAGAAACGTCTTAACAATTTTATTAAGCCTGTAGATGTGAAACCAGTCATCGACAAAATTAAATCCACGTTTGCATTTACAAAACATATAGATATATTGGGAATCCCCCTTCAAATTTTTATGCTTACAGACGTATTACTTAAAAACAAGGAAAACTATTTAGACTTATTAAACAATAAATTTCTCCTGACTGACATGTACCGGTATTTTATTGAAGGAAAATTTAAGTTTTTCTACGGAGATAAAGTGCCCGTAAACAATGATTATTGGGAAGAAGAAGTAAAGAAAAAGAAGGAAGAGAAATTAAAACAGTATGAAAAGTTGGCGTTCAAAGTAATATTTCCTGAAGATGTTTTGAAACAATTAAATATAGATTATTCGCAAAAGATAGATTCTGTTTCTGAAGATTTCGCAACTGTCGGTATCGTGACTGGACTACAAAACGGCATACCGCAATTTGCACATGCTTCCTTTGCCGAATATTTTGTTGCCTTATATTTTTCTAGAAATTTTAAAATGATACACAGGTACATATTTTTTGATGCGAAGTATAATAACGTACGTTTCTTCTTCGACATGTTAACTGGCACAAATTCACCGGTCCACATTGCGATTTTATATAGAAATTTTGATGAAGTGGAGAACTTTGACGACAAAATAATAAAACGTAAAGATGAGTGTGGAAGAAGTGCCTTACACCTCATTTGTTCTTGGGGACGAAGACAAGGGCGTATAAATGTACACACCGAATCTAGCGGTTACGTTATTGAGGCAACTAGGGAGATAATGAGTAGTTCATTAGAAACGAAAGAATATTTTAAAGCGTTATCGTTTTTGTTAGATAATTGTGAAATATTAGAACAAGATCTTTTACATAAAATCACACCCTTAGCATGGGCACAAGAAAGTGATAGTTTGGGAGCTGAACTGGAATTATTGCAATCATGCAAATTACAACTGAAAGATTCGTATAGTCGAATAGACAAAATTAATATTTTATTTTTTGCCGCTTTGCACGGATACGCAGAAGCGTTTAAAATATTATTTTCATCTTCGAGTAGTTCTAATAATGAAGTAAATTTTAGTGTTGAATTCGATGGTAGTACGCCTCTTATAATAGCTTCTCGAGAGGGGCACGAAACAGTTGTTGAGTACTTGGTCAAATACGGAGCCGAAATCAATCGCATTAATAAATATGGTGAGACACCGCTTTACGCAGCTTCCTCTCGAGGTCACGAAAAAATTGTCGAATTCCTGGTGAAATGCGGAGCCGAAATCAATCGCGTATATATTTATGGTGGGACACCGCTTCACGCAGCTTCCTCTCGAGGTCACGAAAAAATTGTCGAATTCCTGGTGAAATGCGGAGCCGAAATCAATCGCGTATATATTTATGGTGGGACACCGCTTTACGCAGCTTCCTCTCAAGCTCACGAAAAAATTGTCGAATTCCTGGTGAAATGCGGAGCCGAAATCAATCGCGCTGATAAAAATGGTCGGACACCGCTTTACGCAGCTTCCTCTCAAGGTCACGAAAAAATTGTCGAATTCCTGGTGAAATGCGGAGCCGAAATCAATCACGCTCTTGAAGATGGTCTGACACCGCTTTACGCAGCTTCCTCTCGAGGTTACGAAAAAATTGTCGAATTCCTGGTGAAATGCGGAGCCGAAATCAATCGCGCTGATAAAAATGGTCGGACACCGCTTTACGCAGCTTCCTCTCAAGGTCACGAAAAAATTGTCGAATGCCTGGTGAAATGCGGAGCCGAAATCAATCGCGCTGATAAAAATGGTCGGACACCGCTTTACGCAGCTTCCTCTCAAGGTCACGGAAAAATTGTCGAATGCTTGGTGAAATGCGGAGCCGAAATCAATCGCGCTAATAAAGATGGTGAGACACCGCTTTACGCAACTTCCTCTCAAGGTCACGAAAAAATTGTCGAATTCCTGGTGAAATGCGGAGCCGAAATCAATCGCGCTGATAAAGATGGTCGGACACCGCTTTACGCAGCTTCCTCTCAAGGTCACGGAAAAATTGTCGAATGCCTGGTGAAATGCGGAGCCGAAATCAATCGCGCTAATAAAGATGGTGAGACACCGCTTTACGCAACTTCCTCTCAAGGTCACGAAAAAATTGTCGAATTCCTGGTGAAATGCGGAGCCGAAATCAATCGCGCTGATAAAGATGGTCGGACACCGCTTTACGCAGCTTCCTCTCAAGGTCACGAAAAAATTGTCAAATGCCTGGTGAAATGCGGGGCAAAAATTAATCCAGCTAATACATATGAGAACACATTGTTGTACGCAGCTTCCTCTCAAGGTCACGAAAAAATTGTCGAATGCCTGGTGAAATGCGGAGCCGAAATCAATAACCCTGATAAATATGGTCGGACACCGCTTTACGCAGCTTCCTCTCAAGGTCACGAGAAAATTGTCGAATGCCTGGTGAAATGCGGAGCCGAAATCAATCGCGCTGGTGAAGATGGTTGGACACCACTTAACGCAGCTTCCTTTCAAGGTTACGAAATAATTGTCGAATTCCTGGTGAAATGCGGAGCCGAAATCAATAGCCCTAATATAAATGGTTGGACACCGCTTTTCGCAGCTCTCTTTCAAGGTCACAGAAAAATTGTCGAATACTTAGTAAAATGTGGAGCAAAACCTTTCGTTTAATAAAATGAATAATGATGGTTCAACTCGAATAGTCACCAAAAATCTGTCGATTGATTAGTTCAACGGTGATCCAAAACTCCTCTACGCCGGGCCAGACTTTAAATATTTTATTACCATCCGCCGCCTCATTTTTTAATTGTTATTTTGTTGATCACATCAGGGACGTTAATTTTGTTCTGTCTATTAAAAACAATGTTACCTTTACCTTTGAGAAATATTATTACATACTTTAATTATAGGATTTATATTAAAAAAAATAAAATTAAAAAAAAAACTGAATTTGTTCGACCGTATTTCAGGAGCGACAAATGTCCTGTCTGATGCCTTGGACCAATTTTACCTAGTTTGATTAAAATTAAAATTTGTTTCTACAAAATTTTTTCTTAATACAGTGTTTTTCTTTATTTGTCGAAAATGTTTCACTGTTTGACACCGTTTTCCCGTATTTGCCATTTTGATATCATGTGCGAAAAATAATTCCCTTTGTCAAAATTCTTTCAATTTATCGCAGATAGGTACTTTCCCTCAGTTCTAATAAATATTTTGTATTTTAGCTACAAGGGCCCAAGCATAAGTAATTTATTTTAACAAATATGTCAATCTATAATCATTAACAAATTATTTAAGTTCAAAATTTGATTTCTGTTTAGCCAATCCCAACAAATTATTGCGTCAAAAGCATTGTGTACTTGGATATTGGATATTTAATTCGTCTCCGTTTCTAGGATGACTTCTTTTAATAATCACTTTCCACTGATTAAACAGTTTCCCAATTAGGTTTGATCTGTAGATTTCAAAGGGGGCTGCACACGTCATTACCACTCTTCGACCAAGTTTTGAGCTACTGGGTTAAGAAAAGTCCTATATCGAGGTAGAAATACAGGAAAAACTCCATGGGTTTGTATCAATCGTTGAATTTCTTCAGTTCTGTGAAATCTTACATTGTTCATTAAAATATGTCCGTGCGCCCCTAATATTATCTTTTTATAAGTGATTCAATAAGGTTTTAAAAAATCGTAATCGACTAATTACGACCTGTCAGCTGACCTTTAACTTTGTTTGCGCTACAGTTACTTGGTGATCTTCCGTAAGAGTTAAACAAAGTCTTCATCAACCCAATTGCATATTTGTTCTTTCTGTTGTTTAGTTAACTTTTACGTGCGCTGCATAGCATTTTCTTTCTCCATTTGATTAGTCGAGTAAATTTTTCTAACAGTGTTTGGTTGGATATTAAAGAGCTGTCCACATTGGTTGATGTGCGACGAAATTGGTTTGTTAAAGATAAGAAACTGTTTTGACAGAAGGTCAAACAATTTGAGAAACATTTAATTTAATAAGAGTAGGAAATAAATTTCACAATTAGTGGAACACAATTGATGAAAGACCAAAATCAAAAGAAAAACACTATTTTATGATGTACATCTTTGTATATCTACATATCCTTCATCTGTTTTCATATATTGTAAAGACTTGTATTGCTTATTAACTTATTTATTTATTTTTTTTTTAGTTATCTATTCTTATATTTAAACTTATTTTTGAGATTCATTAAATTTTCACATCTATGGAAAACATAGCCACAAACTAAATAAGTCACTTTCTTTGATGGTCACATATTTCACTTGAATAAACTAATTTGACATGACGACTTATTTTATAATTATTTTGTTTATAGTTTTTTCTGAAGTACCATTTTCGGATTTTTTAACTTCCATGAAATTTATTTTATTCTATTCAAACAAAATTTGAACTTTCCATAAATAATTTTGATACTATTCCAAATTTTAATCAGTTGACGACCACATAAATGCAAACTCGATCAGTCAATATTTTACGAAAATTTGTCAAGTATATTTTCGGGCAAAATCAGCTAAGCTTCAACTTTTACTTTAGGTGAGTCATTATCTAAATATATTTGGCGTTATGTAACTATGAATTTCAGTACAAATTTTTTTGGTGAGGCCTTCACAACAATACGAAGAGAACTGCAGCAAAAGCTGGCGTACGTCCTACTATCAAACTTTAAAAAAATACAAACAAAACACATAAACTAAGGTAAGTAAAAATATTTTAAAATTAACTTTATAAATTTGGTTTAACATTCCAGTACAGGTGTTTCCATAGTTTTAAAAAAAATTGGAACCAAAATTTCTGTTATTCATCAAGAACTAATATTGGAACAATGTTTTGAAAAATACTTCCGCTTCAAAAAGAGGTAAATTTCCCTACCAAAGTACTTAGATTTATTTATCACATTTTGCATTATAGACTTTTCCTGCCTGCCAAAACAACGAATTGAAAAACAGCAACTGGTGTTGTAATTTTGTATCAACACAAAATATATCTTAGGCGGAATCAGGTTTCTAACCTCAAGTTTTAACAAATGGGCTTAATACCGCTAACTGACCTGGACAATATCAACAGAAGAGGGTTTTAAGGTAACTTTTACAACTTTAAAATTCACAGTATCACAAAATATTTAAAATTGCAGCAAAACTTACGCTAAATGAATTCCAAACCAGAGAATTTAGTCGCAATTCCTGCACCATCAGCAGGAACTTCATCTTGTCATCGCAGTAGCTACAAATTGTCCATACATTCCGAAATCACTGCATAGAAAACAGTATGGTGCTATAGAAAATCATCTTAATCAGATTCATATTATTTACATGGCCAAACCGTTCACATGTAACATAATTTAACAAATTAATAACACATTCACTTTGATTGAGATAGTTTTCCATCGCACAATTAATTCTAGTTCTAATATGAGTTTGATAATAACTTTATTATTTGTAAGTAGTGTTGTAAATGGTTGCTTTAATGTGTAATTTATTTCGTCTCTGTGTGTCTTTTTTGCCAAGATCGCTCAACGGATGCAGCATTCATGTCTAACAAATGTCAGCGCTAGATTCGTTGTTCACGCATTCAAGACGCGTTTTTGTATTTGCATCTGTTCGGCGCTTCGAGGACAAAATAATTAAAAATTTTGAAATGTAAAGTGCCATGATACCTTTTAACTAAGTACTTTTACTCAGAATTAGCAAAAAACGACGTCAAGGTTGTTTTCCATTGTTGAATATTTTTATCACTATATAGATCCACTAGGTTTGCATTACAAAAATGAACATTTTGTACCAAGTCGTAGTTGGGGTTTAAATTTGTTCATAGTGTTTTAAGCATTTCACAACGATTTCCCAAAAACATACTCTTTTGACAAACTGACAAAGTTTGATTCAGAGAGGAAGCGGGAAATTTACTGTGACCAAATACTGAAGATGCTCAAGCATGGCAACTACGAAACTATCTTTCTTCTTGACAATTGGTACACAGGTGAAAAAACACTTAACAAAACCAAAGTACGTAATTGAAGCAGCTTTTCTTTTAGGAATAGTTGTTGATAGAATATGTAAAAATCTGAATTGGAGCAAAAATACCGAAGAGGGACTGCAACCTTGTCGTATTTTCTTACTTAATCATAGTTTTGCTGGTTTATTAAAAAAAGTATCATGACATGTGAGGGATATTTTTACTTTGTAGTTGAGATATGTACATATATTGTAGTTTATAAGTTTATTACTAGTAATGTAACGATGATTACTCCAACCAAGGACTTCGATAAACCTGTGTATCTAAAAAATGTAATCAATCAGTTCCTATGTTGTAAACAAGTATGTAAATAATGAATTAATGTGTACATATGTTGAAATAGATTGCTGTTTGTTATCAAACATTAGAATAAAATACATTTTTTTGGAATTTTTATTAAAAAAGTTTAAAATTGAAAAACCAAAAACTGAAGACTGAAAACTTGAAAATTCCAAAAACTGGAAAAATTCACATTGAAAAAAAAAAAGAAAAATGATGGAATCCGAACAGTGAAAAGCGAAAAATTTTAAAAATAAATAAAACAAAAACCAAAACGAAAAATTGTAATTAGAAAAATGGAAGAACTGAAAATTTGAAAACTCATGTAGCAACTTTCTTGAAACATTTTTCTTTGGAATGCTTCTTGCAAATTACAGTGAAATCGTTATTTTGAATGCATCTGCAAGTGGATCGGAAAAGTGTCTACCGTAAATTTGACTAAAAAATACTTACTGTAGTGTTTTTTGAAGAACTCGAACCACTCCTTTCTAGTGTTGTGATCTGGAGGTATTTCACACAGAGATAAGTCTTTATTTTTGCACAAGGCACAGCGTCTACCCATTGTTACAGATAACAAATAAATAACACAAATTGTTTATAACCCAATAAACACGAAAACTAAGAAACTAAACACGAAAAGTGAGAAACTGAACACGAAAAAATTGGTAAATCAAACACGAAATGTGAAAAATGGAGCAAGAAAATAAACTGAGAAAATTACGCTGACAAGAACATTTACGTTTACCGCCAAGGATTGACAGTAACTGATTAGAATTGGCAGATGTCGCCACTTTCTGAACGTCACGGCTCAAAATAGACATAAATGTAGTGATCGAATAACAAAAACTTTGACAGAGCCGAATTCTGGTAGAGACCTTGGGTACACCAGTAGAAATAAAGTGCCAAAAGTCCCCATAGATCATAGATCCCATGTGTGCTAAAAAAGTTATTCAAAGTCAAACATCAAAATTTTTGGCTTTTTGGATTTTTCTCGAAAACGGTAAGTTTTAACAAAAATTATATATAATAATATTATCTACAAAAATGGCCCACATACTTTTTTTTTTTGTAAGAATCACCATTCCTAAGTCCATAGGACCCTTTTCCTGTAAGCAAAGTGAGTAGACATTATATAAATTCCAATGATACAGAGTGAGACAACATCCCGCAGGCAAAGTCAGATTTTTGGAGCGCCAAGTTAAAATTAACCAATGAGCGACAGATTACGCATGTGTAGCCTGTCAAAGCGGTTTGTTGTCACAGGGCTTTGCTCTGCTGCCGGAGTGCCGGATACTATTTCCAACGTGGTTTTGAAGATGCGTGCGCACGGAAAGTCACTATGGAAGTTTTATGATCTTACAGGAAAAGGGTCAATTACCGTTCTAAAAGTTGAAGGAGTTACATTCCACATGATATGCACGCATTTCCACATCTGTGAAGTAGTGTACTTGGCGTTTTTTTTTTAACGTGGTTTTCCCCGTGGGCCTACTCCACGATCTGTTATGACGGAGTTATATCGGAAATTACGGTATTTAAGTACGGCATGATGATTATTGTTATTTATATAGTTAATTGATTTAAACCATAGTTCTAATTTCTGTTAACATTTTAATTTGATTCACACTTTTCAAATTCGACTTCAACAATCTTATCTTCCTCAATTTCTTCTTCTTCTTCCTCTTCTTCTTGCTGGTTGTTCGTAAATTGTTCAACTGAAGATGAATCAGCTGTCTCTTCATCGATATCACATCTAATCTAATTGTATACTCAATATTTATTCATGCCACGAGGGAAATACATTGGTGCTAAAATTAGCTCTCCTTCCCCTCTCCTTGTGGGTAGGGCAGGGGTTAACCTTGAAACCTTAAATATGAACTGCTATCTATTACTGCAGATTCGAAGTCTAAGTACGCATGATTTGTCTGAAACATTTTTTTCAATTTGTGACAAATGGTGCTGAATCGAAGAAATTCAAAATTTTTCGGTTTCTCCTGAGAAAAAATGCATATGATTCTGCAATACGTTGGCAATAAAAAAATACCACGTTTTTTGTAAGTACTCGAAAATCGTCGTTTATGCTGCAAATTTCGAACAACTTGGAAATTGTTACTTACCTGTAGAAATGTCAATGACTGGCGAATGAACGACTTTTAGCGCAACCCAGGAACAACGATGGGAACAAATTAGTATTCTGTTCGCTTCAGGGTGCTCGGTTAAAGTGGGTCCCTCTCGCCTCTGACTTATTATGGTGCTTAATTTAGTGCCCTCGTCTCGCCATCTTTCAATTAAAGTAAGTGCTCAAAATGATGGCCTTTGAATTCAGTGGATATTGAATGTGCACTGAGAAATGTGTCTGCTTGAATTTCGGCACAAGCATGTTTGATTTGTTAGCACCACAAAAAGAATCGGACCAGCTCTACCGATCCAGTGACCATTGAAATCATGATTCAGTATTCCACGTGCTACCATCGAATAGTCTTCTGGACAACCATCATGTTGAAATCACATGTTCTGCCGCACTTCTAAGCTCACTCTTTGATAGCTCTGTCTATGGTAGAGAAGCGTATTTCTAGTTGAGGATTAAAACACAGTCTTCATCAATCCACTTGCTTATTTGTTCTTTTGTTCTTCAGTTAAGTTTCATGGATGGTGCCTAGCACTTCTTTCCTTCGCTTGGTTAGTGTTTTTCTCACTCGAGAAAATTTTTATGACAGTGTTTGGTAGGACATTAAACTGCTGTCCATATTGGCCGCTGTACGATGAAATTGTTTTGTCAAAAAATGAAACTATTTTGACACAAAATGAAATAATTTGATAAATAGTGGAACACAACTGACGCAAGACGAAAAACAAAAGAGAAAGACTGTATTATGATGGACATCTTTGTAATTCAATAATATGTGTATCTATATTCTACATCTGTCTTCAGACATTGTGAAGATTTGTATTATGTTTATTTATTTATTCTTATAATTTAACTTGTTTTTGAGATTCACACATGTGTCACTTCTTAGAAAAAATAGCTACAGACAACGTAGGCCAATTCACTTTCTTTTATGGATTCTTATTTAAATTGAAATGAATAAACTAAACTAAAAACAAAACTTAAATTCAAATCAAAACTAGTTTTTTCGTGAGGCCTTCACAACAATACGAAGAGAGCTGCAGCAAAACCTGACGTATGTCTAACTATCCAACTTGAAAAATGCAAAAAAAAACACGAAAACTAAGGTAAGTAAAAATATTTTGAAATTCACTTCATAAATTTGATTTAAATTTTCAGTGTAGTTGTTTCCATAATTTTTATGTCATGGGCTCTCCGACATAATATATTTTTACGAAATAAACCCATACGCCGCCCCGCAACGACGCCTTTGGCTCTTCTAGTATGTATGTGTTTATCCTGGTATGTGCGGCGGTGATGACTCATCGACCGGGCGGCGCGGCGTTCGCTGACGAAAAGCCTGGAAGCGGAACTCGCGATGGGTAGCCCAGAAAACCCCCCGAAGCGGCGTTTTCGAATCATCGAGAGGAAGATTTAGGTTTAAATAGAGACCACCGGCGGGAAAGAGGATTATTCGTCGATTTGAGTCAAGAGCGTCTAGTGAAGTGTGCAGGAATTATAGTCGTGTAAATTCGCATTATTAAGAAATAAATTGTTGAATTTTACCCATGCCGATTTTATCCACTGATCAACGAATCAATATTTTCCCTTTTATCAAACCTGAAACGAGAAATTACAATAGTATTTTACAACGAATGCGAAAACAATTGTTATATAATAATAATAAATGCGTTTATTGTTCTACTAAAGAGAAAATGTGAGAACAAAAGGTTCTGCTACAGCCCATCGCTGATAACTCAGGGTACTTATTGAAAACGTAACTCTTTAAGTGAGAAAATGAAGTTTTAAAAATTGACATTTTATGGGAAGGTAAGTATATCGAGTTGTCAATCATGTTGGAGGATGATGTCTTTGAACTTGTGAAATTTGTTACATAGCGCTGTGTCAACAGCCAAAAACACCAATAAATTTTCCACAAAAAGTTTTAGCATGTAATAAGTATTTGCTGTTTGACTGCCAATTTTGTTTTGTCTTTCTGTACTGTACTGAATATGAATGAATTGAGAAACCAATTCTTGGAAAATAGATCATATTTTCGCTACTATGACGCAAATAGTAGGTAAATACGAATTAGAAGTTAAATAAGATAAAATTTGATTGCAAAAAAACCAAGGCGCTAGTAAACACTTCATGTTTATCGTTATCCTAAATCTAGCTTTTATAATATTTACTTGTAGCAAATTAATTAAAATGTAAATTATGTACAAACTTTTTGCATTTGGCATATCAGTGGGTGACGTGTTTATTTATTTATTATGACGTTTAAACAAAAAACTCAAACAGACCCACTCTCAGTTTAGGCATATATAAGGAACACCGTTAAAAAATTTCATCCATCATTGTATAAAAGTTTACCATAACAAAGTAATGCTCTTTTTGTGTTTACAAAGTTCAAAAATAAGTGAACGTCCTGACGGGTAAGTTAAAAATGACGCGTATTTTTTATTGTACATAATAATCATTAACGAATTTGTTATAACTTGCATTGCTTCTATCAATATGTATAAAAGTTTAGACCTAAAACTTGCATTTCTACCTTCGGTACATCTCCAAGGAAAAATAAATTTTAAGCAACGTCTGGTCCTCTTTCACATCTACATTTTGGAAATTTGGTGTGGATGTATAATTAAACATGACGATTTGATTTTAATATTTTTCCTTTTTTTATCGCTTTCGGTTTCACACACAAGGCCACCTTTCTTTTTGTTTTAATGAAACACCCAGATTTTTTTGACAGTTCCTGATGCAGAATAAAAAACTAATTTCAGAAATTATCAACATGTTTATTTCTACTGATTCAAAAAAATTGAAACAAAAATTTGGTAGAATAAAAATACCCAATAAAATATATTGGGTATTTTTGATGTTAAACAAATATTGTAATCAAGTCGCCATGTTGAACTATATATCCAAAGCAAATTTCAGACAAAAACTAACGAAGTTATTCGACCGTTCCGGGACTTTATACTAACCCTGTATTTATTTTATTATCTCAGAAAAATTTTTCCTCTTGTCTGTTAAAATATTTTTTTGTCTAGAGAAGGATCTCTCAACATCGCACGATGTTAAATGAGAATATCTAAAATTAGAAATTTCAGTGGATTTTATTTTTAAATTTTTTTCTACATTTTCGCTTTGTAATAACGTGCTCACAAATTGAAGCTTTTTGTAGTTTTTTGTAAAGTATCTTGCAGCTTTTTAACTGCTCTCCCCGAGGAATCTTCGAATCGTTTATACTATATCCACAGACTGACGGTCAGCCCAATGGTCTCTAATCTAGTTATGCTTGTTTTTAAGATTTCATAATAACCTAAAAAGTTTCATTTAATTTACTATTACACAGTAAAATTATGAATAGCCATAAACGAACTTTTTTTTATATTGTCAAAAAGTTCGCAATAATATTTATATTATTATATTTGAATTAACATTATCATTTCGGAAATTGAATCACATACCAAATTTAAATTTGACTTACACCAGATTACTTACCTTACCAAAAATTTGCTCTAGTTGTGGAACAAAATTAATGCAACTTATTGACGTTACTACTTAACATGCAATTTGAACGCTAATGCAAGTCGAAGCTAATTTAAATCGATCTTAGAAAAACGATTTTTTTAATACTTAATTAAAAAGATTATCTAACGACTCATTGATAAAATATGTCACTGTTGCATTATTGTTTTTTTTTTTTAATATTTTCGATTCCAGTAAATGTGGTGTACCAGCTGCCTTTGCTACCCAAATATCGTGAACCCCAATTACTGTTCCAACACTGTTAACCATCTACAAAAAAAAGAAATGTTTTGTTCTTAAGTTTCTTCAATGATATATTTGCCGCAACAAATGCACTTCCTAATAGTAAAAATTTTTCTTATGGCCTTCGCTGTAAAACGAACAAATTAAACTTTGCCTGGTGTCTTTAGTAAGATTTGTTTTGTGTATGTCAGTATTTTTCATGTTGAAGAACGTGCAGTAAAATTTGTTTTATGATGTTTCACGCAGAAAAACAGATTTGGGTTATGTTGGCATTTCGCTGACGAAATTCCCCCGACACTTTTACCCAAAACTCGAGTTGTATTATCTTTGTTTATGGTACCGGAAATATTACAATTTGTTGCCTGAGAACTTGTTTGATCAACAAACCACAGCGCACTCAGGCTAATGTCGACTCTAAGCGTTCAGAAATGATTTCATCTATAAGTCATTGTCCGTGATCTGATGCACATCCTAACCGGTTTCGACCATAATCTCTACGGAAAAACAATTATTCAGTTATGGTCATGCATCTTATAATAAAATAAAATAACTTGACAACTACTTTAAACGTTAAAAAGTAACATACTCTCGAACTTGTTTTTAAAAATCCACGTTGAATTTTTATCCTCGACATTGATATTTTTCGATTTTTCGGCTTTTCAGTTTCTTGCTTTACAAATATTAGTTTTGGCGTTTTTCAGTTTATTTATTGTTCAATTTTTGGATTTTACAATTTCTCAATTTTCAGTTTTTCGATTTCTCAGTTTTCCGTTTTTTCAATTTTGCTCCTTTTCAATTCTATGATTTTTAAATATCTCGATTTTTCAATTTTTGGCGTCTATAAACTCTCATGTTTCGATTTTTCAATTAATCGATGTTTTGATTTCTCCATTTCTTGAGTTTCGAGTGTTTCGATTTTCCACTTCTTCAATACCTCAATTTTTCGATTTTTTTTTTAAGTTTTTCGATTTTCCAAGGTTTTGATTTCCCGATTTATCGAGATTTGGATGTTTCGATATTTTGATTGTTCACATTCTCGATTTATCAGTTTTTCAATTTATACCTTTTCGATTTTTTTATTTTGGACTGATTCGGTTTTTCAGTTTTTCTATTTTTTCGTTTTTTCGTTTTTTTTATTTTTTGACATTTAGATTTTTGATTTTCCGATTTTCGTTTTTTTGATTTTTGCCTATTTCGGTAGGTATATCAATTTTTTGACTTTCCGACTTCTCGATTTCTCGATCTTTTGATTATTCGATTTCTCGGTTTTTCGATTTTTTACTTTTCGGATTTTCGGTTTTTCGATTTTCCAATGTTTCGATGTTTCGATTTTTCAATTTTTCCATTTTTAAAATTTTGGAATTTCGATTTCTCATTTTAAAATGTTTTGCTAGTATAAAATACAATTAAAACTCGAGTGAAATATGTAACATTTAATATTATATTTGTAAATAAAATCATCTAAATATACATCAAAAATATCCACTTATTCGTTATAGAATCCGACCAAACAACTGTTTCCTGCAGAAATTATAGTCCAAATCAACCAAATCGCTTTTGAACGCTTATAGAGTCGACACTTGCCTGAACGCGCTGTGGTCTGGTAGGTCAAACAAGTTCTCGGGCGACGAAATGGACCTTCGCAAGAGACATGTGCGAAGGGTATGGAAATAGTAACTTACACAACTAGTGTTAATCCAACATTTGACCAATTTTACGTAAAGTTGCACTAGGAACGACGTTGGTCAGAAAATTATTTTTTTTTAAGGAAAATAGCAGTAATTTGCAGAATATTAATATTAATTAGTGATGCTAATAAAGCTATTTGTGACATTTTTTGTGTAATATATTTTTTTCGTTACTTTTTTAAACCATTGAATTTACATATACACGCGAGCTATGATTCTCCATTTGAAAATTTAATATTATCACTTTTGGCTAACAAATAGAAAAGTTATTTGAGGTAAAATTTTTAGCTGACTGTTTATTTCTCGATTGTTGCTGTTGAAATCAATAAATATTATTATTAAAACAAATGACGATAGTCCATTTTAAGAAAACAATAAATTTACTTTACTTTTGGTATTTTTTAAATAAAGTTTGTGAATTAAGTAGATATATATCAGAAATGACTGACGGATTTTTATTTAAGAATCAGTTAATAACTTATTAAGCAGTTTATGGAATATTTTAACTGAGATTAAAGTTAATCATGCATTTATTGAGGCGTTTGGCGACGTCGGATTGGCGTACGATCGGTCATATGGTACTTCGGTCGTGTTAAAAATCTAATCCCAATCAAATATTTAATTGAGCTTCTGCAAGGGTTTGAAATTATTATTATTTAATGAAATTCGTAGATATTGAGTTTCCTATTTTTTTACAATTTTCCGTTTAACCAACAAAAATGATTGATTCAACTCTTAATTTATTTTTAAACATTGTCCTATAATGACTAAATCAGTATTTCGTCAACATTTCAAATAAATTCGCCATGTACCTAGATTTTTAGATAAACTGAAAAATTTTCTTCTAACATTTATTTTCCTTGTAATAAACCGTATATGTCCACATGATAACATGACATAAATGTTGAATTTTTACCCTAGACATCCAGATTTAAAAAAAAAAAAGACAAAATTAGACAATAACAACATTTTGCATTTTAACATTGCAACTACAAAACAATACTTATACAGGGTGAGTTGGAAATAATGAATCAGGCAGTATACTTTACAGATCAAATCAAGAGCGGCTCATTCAATGTTTTACAAACTTTTAGTCTGCAGGGTTATTATTATTAGTATTACATTGCACATTTTCAAATTATATGTGCCCTTGCTAACATGTTGATGACGTTATCACAAATTTTTGTTAGGAAAAAACTCGCTTGAAACGTACGTATTCGATGTTTATTTACCTGTACTTTAACAATCAACACATATGTCTTTATTTTAACTTTATAGAGGATATCATTAAATAATAGTCTAATTCACAAAACTACATTTTATAATTTTTGGAAGAAGCTGTATTTGAAGTTCTGTCTAAATAACTTTAGACCATTTTTTTGTGAATATTCTCTGTACTACAGTTAGATATATGACAGAAATGCCACTACTCAAAGACAAACGCTGAATTTTGCAACAGTTTTTGAGTATATGTGCTGTCGGAGGTTGACCATAGTGGCTACAATCATGTCATCAGCCTAACTTTTCAAAATTACATTAAATGTTTGGCAGTAATTGCTGGAATATTTTAAATTTTAAATTTGAATTTGATAGTAGATAGCCAAAAAAGATTTTTTTTAAACATAACACTATTGTTTTAACTGTTATAGTAGCGAACTTTTGTCCTGTACCCCTCTCGAAAAATAGTTCGCTAACATATACAATAATCTCCAGCCTTCGGTTTTATTGTCGAAAACTGACACATACACTAGTATGAGTGTTCTGACAGCGAGGGGTGTATTTTTTTAATTGGTAGTCATAATTTTGATTTTTTTTTTCAGAAAACACATTCAACGTCATCATGGACTTGAGTTCCGAAGAAGAAGAAATTAGAAAATTAGAAGAAAATTTAAAACAGAAAAAAGAACATAGAAGACTAAGAAAACAATTAGAAAAGATGAATACTTCGCAATCTGAAGAGAACGTATGTTCCTCAAAAAAGGTATTGTAACTTTGGGCCAGCAAAGAACAAATGTTTATGTAGTATTATTATTAGTGTATTACAACTTTAAAAAAATAAATACCTAACTTTTTTCCAATTTTTTTTTACACACAATATTTCTTTCTTACATTTACATATTTTTTACATTACAAATTTGGAAGAATAAACATCTCTCATAAAATGTTGTCCGTGAATACTTTGTTGAATCTTATACTAAATAAATAAGTAAGTAAATAAATAAATAATTACATAAATAAATAAATGTCATTAATTAAATATTTTGTTAGCCCGCAGATCCAATACAAACAGAAGATACTCCAAACAATCAAGTTTTCGCAATTCGGAATAATCAGCAAATTAAAGAAAGTACCAAAGAAAATACACATCAAACCAAGCGGATTCGTAAAGAAACGGATGGAAAAGTAAATCAAGATTTTTCGAAAGAGGTGAGTTTATTTATTTATTTATTTATTTATTTAAAAATGAAATAGGGCAGAGGCTGGAGCCTGTTATGCCCAAGGGACAGTTGTTTTATTTACATGTATTATCAGTTATGATGACCGACGAACCAGGTATCTAGTGCTATCTTGAAACTGATTAAAGAAGAACTTTCGATTATATTCGGAGATAGGGAGTTCCAAATACCCAAAAAAAACCGCTCCGGGAGGAAGAATTGTCTCATTCTTGTTTTGAAAGCATATTTACGTAGCTTTAGTCGATGCCCTCGTGTTCTTGGATCAGCAGATGTTGAAAAAAGATGGCGAATAGGTGAATCGAGTTGCGATAATATTTTGAAGTTCGTGATAACATCTCCTCTAACTTTACGGTGTTCAGTTGTCGGTAATTTCATTATCTTAAGACGATCTTCATAGCTAGGACGATGAAAACCAAAAGGAATACGGGTGATGCGACGTTGAACAGACTCCAGCAGCTGTTTGTCCCTAACAAGAATTGGATGCCAAACTGAATTGGCGTATTCTAGTATTGGGCGTACATATGTCTTGTGCAGTTTTGCGATAATTTCGATGGGGGCACAGGGGAAAGCCTTTGTTATCAAATACCCAATGGAGTTAGCTTTTTTGACAACAGATAAGATGTGAGAAGACCAGGACAAATCTTCTGTAATGGTGATGCCCAAGTCAATCTGCGACGATACACACTGCAAAACGTGGCCACCAAGATTATATTGCATTTTGGGATTGTTGCTGCCTAGATGAAGTACACAACATTTTTTCATATTGAAGGGCATAAGCCATTTTTGCGTCCATGCATAAAGTGTTATTAAATCCGCCTTTAAAACATTATTATTCTTCGAGGTATTATACAATTTCAAGTCGTCAGCGAACAGAGCGAAAGGACTGGAAAGTTCTACGGTAAGATCGGCGATATACACTATGAATAGTATGGGGCCTAAAATTGTTCCTTGTGGAACCCCACTTAGGACCTTTTGTGAATTACTAAGGCATCCATCAATTTTAACTCTAAATGTTCGAAACGATAAAAAGCCTTCTATCCACTTAAGTAATCCACCTCTAATTCCAAAATGTTCAAGTTTGTGCAACAAGCGACGCGTCGGGACTTTATCAAATGCTTTGATGTAGTCAAAATAAATTACATCGACAGGATTATCGTTGTCAAGTTCTCTGGACCAGTCATTGAGGCAACTGAGAAGATTGGTAATTACCGATCGTTTGGGCAAAAATCCGTGTTGCTCGGCCGGAATAATCTTGTGTTCAAGAAGGAACTTCATCATAGTGTGACATATAATGGATTCCATCAATTTACTAATCAGAGATGTTAGGCTAATAGGGCGAAAATTTCCAGCATCAAGTTGGTCCCCTTTTTTGAAAATCGGTTTGACAGTTGCTGTTCTCCAATCGTTAGGCAATTCACCGGTGACAAATGATTGCTGCATGAAGAGACTCAAGGGCTTACATAAAGAAAGCGCACATTCATTCAAAATGGCAGCACTCAAGTCGTCAGGTCCGGGAGATTTAGTTTTCTTCAACTTTCGGAGCCTAGTGTATACTTCTTGTTCAAGGAACTCAACATTAGTTAGTGAGTACATCGAGGTGTAAAAACTACAGGAGGATTTGAAGAAGGTTCGGCAGTGTATGCCTCAGCAAAAGTATCTGCAACGATATTTGCAATTTTGTCATTATCTGAAATTAATGCACCAGTGGAGTCTCTCAACTGTGGTTTCCGAACTGATCCTCCAACAATATCACGAATGTATTTGTAAAAACACTTAGGGTTTTTATTTCGAGCAAGTTGAGCTTCATATGAGGATTTAGCGCTTTTAATTTTCGAAGCTAACTGATTTGAAAAAGTTCGGTGAGCAGCATAATCTACCACGTTACCAGTACGTTTGAAGGAGCGCCACAAATTTCTTTTGATCCGAATCATTTTAACCAATTGATCATTAATCCAAGGTTTTTTGGTGGACTTCATAAATACTCTACGAATGGAATTAAGGAGGGTTAGTTCTTGAAGCTGGGATTTAAACGCTTCCCAGTTTTCGGATATAGTATTGTACTTGAGGGTTGATGCCCAGTCAACTTCAAGCAGATCTTTCTCTAACATCTGATAATTAATAATTGACTTTGTGGTAACGGTTATTTTATTTGTAGCCTGCATATTGATCTGAAGATTCACCAGAATTGTCACATGGTCAGATTTACCGATTGGGCTAGAATATTCTAGATTAGCAATGAGGTCAGGGTTAGAAGAAAGAACTAGATCTAGCACAGAAGGGCATTGGTTTTTTCTATATCTGGTTGGCTCCGATACCATTTGATACAAATGGGAGTCGCTAATCAAATCTACCAGCAACTGCGAAGATCGGTTTAACGATCCAGAACACACAATTACAAAATTGGATACATATATGCAAACTCCTCCTCCTCTTATAGATTGACGGTCTCTCCTAAAAAGACTGTATCCTGACAATGAGACTAGTGAATCCGGTATATCTGAAGTAAGCCACGTTTCAGTAACCATCACAAAAGAAGGTTTATTTACTGCCACAATAGCTGTAAACTCCAAAAACTTAGAGCACAAGGAAGCAATATTGGTGTACATTAGTGGACATAAGAATAAAGAAGAAGTTAGATGAGTAATTGGGGTGAATATAATAATTAATAAGTTTCTGGATCATTTCGATCCAGGGAAGACAAGGATAAATACAAAGTATAGGCTTTGTTAAGTTTACGTTGTGTTTTTAAACACCTATTACGGATGCTGTTGCGGGATAGTAAGGGATAAATTTTATACATATACCTAGTTGATTCTGGAGACCGGTTATGTCATCTGTATATTTCCATGCAATGGGTAAAATGTCTGATTCGCCTAGTACGTCCTCCATAAACTTTATCAGTTCCGGAAAAGGAAGAGGGAAGGGAGGGTCAGCTTCGCTACATAAAACTTGCACCGGTTCCAGTAATTCCAGAGTGCCAATAAGACTTTCAGTCGAATCGTTGGGCCTAACTTTCTTTAAGGCTCGATTAAAAGAGTCATGTACCACCTCTTGAAGTGAAGGTTCATTTACAGGTGAATCGTCGGAGGGGTTGGATCTTTTATGAGTGGCAGTTTCTGTAACCATATTGTCGGATGTTGTGCCGGTTGTAGCAGTATCATCAGTGGTAGCAGCGTCATAAGCGGTCGCAGCATCAATTGGTTCAGTCAGCAGATCAGGATTAGGGGAAACTTGCTGTTGCATTGTACACTGACTGGCTATATGACCGGTCTGGCGACATTTAAAACAAGCTTGGTCATCATACGTTAGGAAAATGCGGTAGCTAGTTTCTTCATATTTTAATACCAAGGAAGAGGGTAGTTCTATTGTTGCATCCGGCGTTACAAATATTTGTCGTCTGAAGCTTAGGACGTGGCTGTAATCTTCATTTTGAATTCCTGCCCGTAAGTAGGACAGAGGAGAAACAGGTTTGTAACCAAGACCTTTAATCAAAGAAAGAATGACATCATGAGGAATACTGGGACAAACGTTTGATATGATGATCCTTTGCGCTGGAGTAATGAATCGCCGAATGCCAACTTCTTGGTTATTAATCGTTAAATTCGGATGTTTTGAAACTAACTCATCTACTAATGATTTTTCCTTGAGGTAGACAGGGTTGGGCAAAATACACTTTCCACTGTAATTGAAATACAAAATACAAAATACTTCAATTTAATGTATTTGAAATACAAATTACAAAATACATTTAAGTCTTGTAGTTGAAATACAAAATACAAAATAGTATTTCAAATACTTTTAAAAATACAAAATATATTTTCTCCAACCGTCATAAAAGCATGACGTTTTTTGACTGTCAGGGATCTCTAAGGTTAACATTTTCTTTACTGAGATAATAAAAGATGGCATCCTAGCAACAAACAAGTCATTTTTTATCTTAGGAGCTAAACTGTTACTTTTACTTTTAACGTTTGAAAATTTTCCATGACTACATCGAAATAGGCTACTTTATTTTCCAACGAGTTTTTGGTTAATTTTAATTGTTCAAAAGCAAAAACGAAATAGTTTCGTGATACACTTTAGAACCTAATAATATAATATACTATTGTTCAGGACAGTGGTAAAAATAAAATTTTGATAGAAGCTCGTTCCTAAAAATTTTAAAGTTAACTGTCAGAATTCTTTCATTATCTTTATAAGTTGTCCCTGTATGTTACATTCCATATCCATCTACTGTCAATTTGTCGAAAGTAAAACGCGTCGTTAAAAATATTGTGACATTTCTTCTAGTTAATTTTATTCCTAGTTAGAACCAAACACTGCTGCCAACATAAATTGCGAAGTCCTGAACCGTCATTTAATTTAAACTCAGAGATATGTAAAAGACAGATGCGGTTATAGCTTTCCCGATCTAGGGCCAACATCTATGATCTAAGAGTGGCAATACTTTGTGTCGCATATCCTTTTCTATATCAGCACCAGTACTATGGATTGCCAAGTGAAGGCTACATCGATCACTCTCTAAAAGGTGGTTGTCTTGTTATTGGCCCGTTCTGATGGCGGCAATTATAAATAATCATAACCACCCACAGTCTGATTGGTCTGACAGGGACCGGCACAAACACAAGAACGGCATCAACGACAAACGTTGCGCCAACTGATTGGTTGCGCCGTACAGAGCGAGACCTTCAGATATCGGGTTACCATTGTACGTGCTAGAGAAAAAGAGGGAGATATAAACGTACAGTGACATCTTGGGCCTAAACGTATGTATACGAGAACATTAAATATCTGTATCTAGTCTTTTACATATCTCTGTTTAAACTATGGCGCTTCTCAATGTTCTCTGTTACAACCATAGAATATCCTGTTACTTCTCGAAGTACACGAACATACACGAATTAACACGATCGGAAAACTGTTGTAATGAGCGCGCCGTAGTTTGATAAAATGTATTTCAAGTAATTGAAA